AATGAGTTAAAGAGCTATCTTTGGATGGGTACAAATGTACCACGGTTATAGATCTACGTATACTTTTTTGGTTATTGACCGTAGGGTTAAACCAAAATGTTAACTGCAGGCTCTTTGAAATTTATAATAATTATTTAACAATTAGGTTTTTATTCTTTGCCACATTCATTCATCATATGCCGGTCTACCCATTTAGTGACCTTAAAATTATTTACAAAAAAAAATTAAACAGTACCAAAATTTACTTATTCATGTTTATCATTTAAATACGTGCGGGCTACCACTGACCTACTAAACAGACGAAATCAATGATGTCGAAATATTTAAACGACGTTATATGAAAATATTTAGAATTAACGATTAAATAATATTTTCCAATGTCATCTTGCCAAGAAATAATTAGTTAGGTCTATCTATAATTATTATAGTTTGTGTCTTTCAGCTTCTATAAAGAATTAATGACTGTATTATTTGCGGGTACAATTATCATACTAAGTAAGGGGGAAAAGTAGAAAAGATCAGATGGGGACTTTTAAGTCAGAATCATAAATGCCAGTCATATGGACTGGTTGTATGTATTTGGTATATCTCCTAACTTAACAGCCCAAGCCTGAATTCTCGTATGTGTTTCCCGCTTAAGTGTTTTTTAATTAGCAACTTCGGAAATATTTCAACAGATGACAAATACTAAATATATTTATAGAATTATTTTATGTGGTACATAAAAAGTAGATTTTTTATGATGTAGTTCTATTTTTTATTTTATTTGAGTAAATGAATATCATCCCAACTAACTCCCATTCATATTTTCTATTGCATCTGACCAATACTTTGTATGCAAATGTGATTCTGGTGTAAAACATTTACACGCAATGCAATTATTATTTTCGTTTTTTTAATTCGAAAAAAAAAAAATAAAAGAAAAATTATAGTAAAAGTAATTAACCAGTTATTTTATTTGTTTCTTCCTGTCCAATATATTTACTCTTGGTCAAATTACTACCCAGATCAAATGTTACACTTTATCATCGTCATCGACCATAGTCCAGCCGAAGATATTGAGGTATATAGAGTAATGGTATGCTTTTGTAGTCTACAGCTTATACAATAAACGCCAACCTGAAACACACACACTTACATACATATATGCAAATATATATCACAATTCAATTCAACCAGAAAATAAATGAAAAACTCTCATCTAACATAACTCTGGCCGCCGACACATCAATGCCGATAGGCTCAACATTGTGTAGTTGTGTTTATGTTCATGCAGCAGTTTCAGTTGCATTTACTGACCATGACAACGACCATCGGACCACTGATTTTTCAACCATTCATTGCTGTGAAGTGAACTCTTGGAAAAATCATCAATAAAAGAGCTACAAAAATGAAAAAAAAAACAAACAAAATAGCAAAAAAGTGTAAGACATAACAACAACAACTAAAACAATACCAACTAAACCAGACGTGAACGACATTGAGGATGTTGTACCGCTACATTGACAACCAGCATTTTTTACACTTGCAAAAAATTCGTTTTTGAACTATTTACTACGTACATATAAAGGGGATCATAATGATTGGCAAGTTGGTATATTTCACGTTAGGGTGGAGATCTAGGTGTGAAGTGTAATACCCTTAAAAATAAAAAAATATATTTATACCCTACACAACTATGTTGTCAGGGTATTATAGCTTTGTGCAGCCCCAAAAGTTTGTAACGCCGCGAAATATTGGTCCTAGACCAACCTTTTAGTATACCGATCGTCATATCTCGACTAGCTGAGTCGATCTAGACATGTGTGTCCGTCCGTCCGTCTGTCCATTATAATTTGTAAACACGATACAGGCCACATTTATGGACCAATCTTCACGAAATTTTGCATGTACGATGGGTTCTGGCCAATGAAGACCCCTATTGTTTGGTACAGATCGGTTAACATTTAGGGGATGAAATGGACCAAATACTAAATTTTTGTCGGTTTTTCTGGTCGCTCCAGAGGCCGCAGTTATGGTCCGAACATCGTGAAATTTTACATGGAGAAGGGGATCGGGCCTAAGAATAAGCATGCCTGTTTTGATAATGATCGGACAATATTCCGCGGGCCAACCCTGTATTTTGTGTGAAAAATTACAAAATTTTTATTCTGGGGCTTATATACTTGCCCCTGAAGGACATATACCCGAGAAATTGATAGTATATCCAAGAATAGTTGTTGACCTTCAAATTGATACCAATTATATGGTTGTATGTACTCCGATGCGGGAGTTATACGTAATTAAGTAAAGGTGACTATGTGCATATTATTACTATTACTCCATTAGAGGACGGAAATGTCGCGCTGATTGCTTTGAAATTGTACATGAAGTTCCGATTATGGTCAAGGGCGGCGCTTATAGTTTTCGGTGAAGTTGAGATTTCATTCAGGGGGTGCAATGAGCCGAAAACTTTAATTTTGTCAGATTTTCTAGTCGCTCTAGAGGCAATTATTATATGCAGAACATCACATATTTTGCAAGGTGAAGGGGATCTGACCAAATACTTAGAGCGGGTCAAATCAACCAAAACCTAAAGTGACCACTTTTTATTTTATGGCGTAAAAATTCACTTCAAGAAAAAACATTTTGTAAAATATGCAAGACTTAGAAAGAGGAGTTGCTGATCTATAATCGGTAAAAAGGGTGCAAATATCACGAAATATTGCCCAGGCTCAGAATATAGAATCGCCGAGAGTGTGCTTTTCGTGGTAGTTGTGTAGGGTATCATATGGTCGGCCCCGTCCGACTATACTGCTCCGCTCACTGGTTTTTATTGTTTTCATATGGGGTTTCTGCAGCGACAAAGTTTTTAACAAAGCCAAATATTGGTCCTAGACCCACTTTTAACTATACCAATCATATCTCGACTAGCTGAGCCAATCTAGACACGTGTGTACGTCCGTCCATAATAATTTGTAAACACAATCTTCAACATACCACTCTTCACGGAATTTTGCATGTAGGATGAGTTCTGCCCAATGAAGACCCCTATTGTTTTTGGTAATAATCGATTAATATTTAGGGGATAAAATGGACCAAAAACTTTATTTTTGTCTGTTTTCTGGTTGCCCGAACATCACGAAATTGTACACTGAGAGAGTGGTCTGACCCAGAATTAGCATGACAGGCTTGATGAAGGTGTCTATGTGTTATGATATTGTTTAGTATTACTATTACCCCACTAGAGGGCAGAAATCTCACCTTGATCGCTTTGAAATCTTACATCAAGTTCCGGTTCTGGTGAAGGACGACACCTTCAATTTGATGTTGAGATGATATTGAGGGTGTGCAATAAACCGAAAACTTTATTTTTGTCAGATTTTCTAGTTGTTGTAGAGGACATTATTATTTGCAGAGAATCGCATATTTTACACGGTGAAGGGGATCTGACCAAATACTTAGAACGCCTGTTTATGTAATGAACGATCAATATTCCCATATTCAAATCAATCAAAACATAAAGTGACCACATTTTTATTTTATGGCCTAAGTATTCACCTCGGGAAAACCAGATTTGGAAGGGTTAGAAAGTGGAACTGTTGACCTATAATCGGTCAAGAGGGAGCAAATATCGCGAAATATTGCCCAGGCTCAGAATATGGAACCGCAGAGAGTAAGATTTTCGTGTTAGTTGTGTACGGTATCATATGTTCGGCCCCGTCTGACTATACTGCTGCGCTCACTGGTTTTCGTCTTCCCTTGTTAATTTTTCGAATTCCTTCGAATGCTTCAGACAAACGAATTGCGGTTCACCACGTAAAATTGACCGTACTTTGCTCAAGCGGAAAATTTGCCACATGACCAGTATTAGGATCATGTAACAGGCTACTATTTGCTTCGAAATGATTCTTCCATCAACAAATTTCTTTGAATATGGTTCTTCATGAAGACCTCCACAAAAATGTTCCACTATATTTGAGCCATTCTGACACTATTTCAAAAGAACTGTTCCACAAAAGTAACTATTGGTCCCATTCTGTCGTTCTTCTTTCCCATGTAGATTTTCATTTTTTTATAACATAGATATACTGATATTTTATTGCAATTAATTTTCGAATCTAACTTCGAACTATACCATAGTGCCGACAATGTTTTTGGAAAGTGTACAGATATACTAAAAAAATTACCCTTTTTGTGTTATCCAATCAGAATACGTACTATCAAATCAATTCGGTTTCTAGCCCATTTGAAATTAGTAAAATACCGACAATTGAATGGTTATGGTCTATATACTGAAAACTAAACCTGTAACGATCTCCAGATTGAAGCACCTGTAAAAATACCAATTGCAATTACATTGGCTAAATTCGTAAGATCTACTGCGAGATTGCCGGCAACAGATGTCTGAGGAGCCTGGATGCAGTATATCAAAATCCACCTGTCCTGAGATTTCGTGACGTAGAAATTCTTCATTGATGTCACTAAGGAAAGACTATATAAAACCCGATATAGGAACTTAATCACATCAAATTGGAACTTCAAAGAAGTGAGCTTCATTTGAGGATGGGAAAAAGCTGGCATCGATTATGTGGCCAAACATTAAAATCAAACATCTAATAGTTTACACTATTACCCTCCATTGGGTCACAATGGACTAAGGGACTTCGAGTGACAGCAGATGCTACATAAATACAACTTCAAAGTATGATCTCATTTTCCCTACTTCTCAAATATTTTTCTCAGTGCCACAATAAAATAACAGATGCAAACAAGTAAAAAACTTCAATTCAGTTTTCACTTTCATTTGTCTTGATTTTCATGTGTTGAGGTAATACAGCTATTGCCACTGAAGTAACTCAATGTGGAAAAGTGGTCGGACAAGTGGAAATATAACGCAAAATCCCCGCCAAATATTATAAAGTCTTGGAATCAATGGATTTTCTTGGCAGTTGTTAAAAAGATTTTCAAGTGTAAACAGAGCAGTTTCCAAATTCGCAAGGATTAACGCGCAGTATAAAATGTATCAACAATTACAAACATTTATATATTTACTGCTGCTGTATGGTGTATCCCTAACAAAGGCATTGACAATTAGGCAGGAAGCAAATGATGCACCCACTACCGCTGTACCACAAACAACACCACTGTTTCCCAGCATTCATAGAGTACGAAATGCTTTCGCCTATGAGGATGCTGACGATGTCATACATGTCATCGAGCCACCAAAACATTTTGAACAATTGAAAATTTTAATGCAAAAACGCCAGAAAATACAACCAATTGTGATTGGTAGAGACAATGGACCGATACCGTTGCAAAAACCAATCAAACGAGATCCGCCATTACCAGCGAAAACAAGACCAGGCAGACCTTTGGTTAAGGGAATGCCCAAGAAAGTAGTTAAAAATCTCAGACCCACCAAGAAACCTTTGGATGTGGACTTGGAGATACAAGAAACGGAAAATTTACCAATTGAAATCTTGGCTTCCGTTAGGAAAACGGAAAATTATTTAAAGAAGTATAAACCCAAGATTCCGTCAGCACCACGACAACGTGTCAAAACCAAAAAGATACAAACTGTTATTTGGGAAAAATCACAGGAACAACAACAATATGTCCAAGGCAAGGAGCAAAAAGTTAATGGTATTCGAGAATATTATCAGCCCCAGGAGAAAAATACCAATCGTCGTAAATTCATCAAGAAACGGATTAAACGACAAACCGAACTGGCTGACTATGAGACACTGAAGGGCGATCAACTATTGGAACACATCAATGAATTGGTAAAAAATGCTTCAATTTATTTGGAAAATTTTAAAGTTTATGAAGATATTGATGTAGGCACCAGCACAAGCACAACCGAGGATACTGGAACGACAACTTTACTACAGAAGGAGGTTTTAAGCCATCCCACCACCGGAAGACCATTTCGAAAGGAAAATCCACAAATCCACGAGGAAGCAGTTATACAAATATTAGAGAACTCAGTGAAAGCAACAAATGTCATAATGGACCAAATTAAAAATTATACAAATTCTAAAAATCTACAACAACAATGTGAAAATAAACAACAAGAAACACACAATCACATACAAAGTTTACGCCAGCAGATTCAATGTATGCAGAGTATAATAAAAGCTGTTAATACAACCACATTTGAGAAACACATCCGCACCCCGCCAAGTAGTACTCCCCGACCACAAGGTCTGACAACAACGGCAGCTAAACGGTATGGCGAACGTTTACGTGAACGCAAATCAAAAGACTTAAGACACAAACCTTTTCTGGTGGCCACCGTTGAAGATGAATATTTTACAGACTCCTCGCCCTCACCCCTAAACACATCATTGATTTATGATGATGTCATGACAACCATACGAAATTTATTACAAGCAACTAATTTACAGAATCTGGAAGAATCCACACTACCATCGTCATCATCATCTTCATCAAACTCTGAGACGGAAATAACCCCCGAAATTCTTGTCAATTGGGAGGAGTTTTCCATACCACAGGATAATTCAGAGCAGCCAGTAGATTTTCACAATCTCAATCAATATTTAAATTCTCTACAAACCATTGTGGCCAATTTGCCACAACCCACAAATTCCACACTTAATTTACATGAAATTGAAAATAATAAACCATCGAAATATTATTTCATTAGCCCCGCGGGTGGTATTTACAATTTACCACAACCATTTCATCCAAAAGATCGTCTGCCGCTGGCACCACCCTCAACAATTTTCCGAAAATTTCCCGATATTCCATCCATAAGCGAGTATTTGGGCGCCAGTGGTTCTCTACTGAAGGCCACACAAAATGTTATTGAAATTTTATAGCTTTTACTTTTTGGTCGCTAATTGTTTTACAAATTTACACTTTCTCTGTAAAATTTTCGTTTTTTTGTTTTTTGTTTCACTTTTAAACTAATAAAAAATAAATATTTAAGTTTTGAATAACACAACCAACAACTCTTGCTGTTTTTCTTTATTTATATTTATTTTTGTGTTATTTCTTCGTAACTTCATTATCTTGAACTTGAACTCTTTTCTTGAAGTTTATTTTTAATTTATTTTGTATTTCTCTTCATTTGTTGTTATGTAAAGTCATTGCTGCTGGTATTGAAGCGATACAGTAGTAATGCGAAGTCTGAAAATACATTTGCAAAAAAAAAAAATCCATAAATACAACTACACTATAAATAACAGGGATTTATGTTAACTCTTCACTGACAAATTACAAACATTATTAATGTCTTAATAAATAACATTTTAAAAAGTTTTTTTAAATATTTATTTTTATACTTTCAGATCTGGCCAACAAAAAAGGTAGGAAAAAACGACAAACATTCAAAAATATCCTATGCTCAGTGTGGTGTAGTGAGGAGCACAGCGTAATTTCTAAAGGCAACTTTGGTCCAATTTCCGGAGAATATTTATACCCTTCACCACACTGTGGCACATTGTATTATGTCTTTGTGAATATGTTTGTAACAGGTAAAAGGAAGCGACCCATGGTAACTTTTAGGAATATACATAGAATAACTTTCTGAGTTGATTTATTGTAAACAAAGTGCTGGTCACATTTATGACCCGAATTGGGTGAAATATGGCACAGCTCTCTTTTTCGGCCCAAGGACGAACCATATTGAAACTGGGAAAAGTAGGTTCAGTTTTACATATAACTCCCATATAGAATAACTTTCTGAGTTGATATATAGTTTTGTTCGATTTTCAATAAATAGTGCACAAAAGCCCCAAAATATGGCCGATTGTACACAACGAACTGAAGTTAGTACAGCCTAACGTGTGCCAAGTTTTGTTGAAATCGGTTCAGATTTAGATATAGCTCCCATATATAGTTTCATTCGTTTTTCAGTTAACGGTGCACCAAAGACCCAAAATATGACCGATTGCCACAAAATTTTGCACAAAGTACTGAAGGTAGTATAACCTACTGTGCGGAGGGTGTCGCTGAAATTAGTATAGATTTAGATATAGCTCCCATATATAGTTTCGTCCGATTTTCAGTAAATGGAGCACCAAAGACCCAAAGATAGACTGATTGCCACAAAATTTTGCATAACATGTAAACTTCATGTAATTTGGACTCAAAGTTATTAAGGGATGTCCGATTTGCCTTAAATCGACATTGTCGCATTGTAAACAAACGACTCTATATTGGTCAAAATGATAAAGTTAGTGTAAGTTGCAGAATGACATGTTTATTAATTGACCTAAGTCGGTTCACATTTAAATAAATATCACATATTTCGTTCATCCAAATAATGGTCCTTCAAAAATGCGACTTTTATAAGGCCGCACCTGTTGAATATATTCAAAGTGGTGAAGGGTATCATATAATCGGCTCCCACCGACTTTACTACTTTCCTTACTGTTTTTATACCCTTCGCCACACTGTGGTACAGGGCATTATGTCTTTGTGCATATGTTTGTAACAGGCAAAAGGAATATTCTCAAAAGGAACCCTGTGTCTATCCCATACACAGGGTTCCTTTTGAGAATATGCATAGAATCACTTTTTAAGTCGATTTATACATATCCGTCTGTCCGTCCGTCCATGTATTTTTGTTAACAAAGTACAGGTCGCATTTGTGATCCGATTTAGATGAAATTTGACACAGTTCACTTATTTGGCCCAAGCACGAACCCAATTGAAATTGGGAAAAATCAGTTCAGATTTAGATATAGCTCCCAAATATATTTTCGTCCAATTTTAGGTAAATAGTGCACCAAAGTCCCTATATATATCCTAGAACGATGTGTGCAAAATTTCGTAAAAATCGGTTTAGATTTAGATATAGGTCCCATATATATTTTGGTCCGATTTTAGGTAAATAGTGCACCAAAGTCCCTATATATCCTTCGATTTGCACGAAATTTAGTATAACGTTCTGAATTAAGCCTAGAACGATGTGTGTTAAATTTCGTGAAAATCGGTTCAGATTAAGATATAGCTCCCATATATATTTTCGTCCCATTTTAGGTAAATAGTGCACCAAAGTCCCTATATATCCTTCGATTTGCACGAAATTGAGCATAGCGTACTGAATTAAGTCTAGAAAGATCTGTTTTAAATTTCGTGAACATCGGATCAGATTTAGATATTGCTACCATATATATTTTCGTCTGATTTTATATAAATGGTGCACAAAAGTCCCTACATATCCTTCCATTTGCACGAAATTTGGATTTATAAATAAATGAAGAATTCAAAATGTAGCCGAATGCAAAAAAACATACTGAAACCAGTAAGGAAAGTAGTAAAGTCGGACGGGGCCGACTATATGATACCCTTCACCACTGTGGGTATATTAAACAGATGAATCCTAACAGACGTCGCATTATTGAAGAACCATTAACATGAGATTAAACATGTCATTCTGCAACCTATACTAAATTTTGGTCAGGTATAGAGTTGCTTCTTACGATGGGACAAAATAATGTAAATAAATTTAAAGCGAAATATCGAAATATAGGTTACACTTATTTCAGTATGGTTTTTGCATTCGGCCACATTTTGAGTTTTTTATTTACTTATAAATCCAAATTTACTTATATGTAATTTACTTATATGTAATATGTATGGGAGCTATATCTAAACCTGAACCGATTTTCAGGAAATTTAACACACATCATTCTGGACCTAATTCAGTACGTTATGCCAAATTTCGTGCAAATCGAAAGATATATAGCGACTTTGGTGCACCATTTACATGAAATTGGACGAAACTATATATGGGAGCTATATCTAAATCTGGACCGATTTTCTCGAAACTTGGCAGACATCACTCTAGGCTTAATTCAGTACGTTATGCCAAATTTCGTGCAAATCGAAAGATATATTGGGACTTTGGGGCACCATTTACATGAAATCGGACGAAACTATATATGGGAGCTATATAGAAATCTGGACCGATTTTCTCGAAACTTGGCAGACATCTCTCTAGGCTTAATTAAGTACGTTATGCCAAATTTCGTGGAAATCGAAAGATATATAGGGACTTTGGTGCACCATTTACATGAAATCGGACGAAACTATATATGGAAGCTATATCTAAATCTGGACCGATTTTCAAGAAACTTGGCAGACATAATTCTAGACCTAAATGATTAGGCTGTACCAAATTTCGTGCAAATCGAAAGATATATAGGGACTGTTTACATTAAATCGGTTAAATATATATATGGGAGCTATATCTAAATCTGAACCGATTTTTCCCAATTTCAATAGGGTTCGTCCTTGGGCCGAATAAGTGACCTATGCCAAATTTCATCCAATTCGGATCATAAATGCGACCTGTACTTTGTTTACAATTTAACATGCACAGACGGACGGACGGACATGCATAAATCGACTTAGAAAGTGATTCTATGCATATTCTCAAAAGGAACCATGTGCCTATCTCGTTTCCTTTTGCCTGTTACAAACATATGCACAAAGACATAATACCCTGTACCACAGTGTGGTGAAGGGTATAATAAGTGTAACCTAACATGTGACAAGTTTCGATGAAATCGGTTAAGATTTCGATATTTTGCTTTAAATTTCTTTACATAATTTTGCCCCCTTGTAAGAAGCAACTCTATATCTGACCAAAATTTAATGTAGTTTGCAGAATGACATGTTTAATTTCATGTTAATGGTCCTTCAAAAATGCGACGTCTGTTAGGATTCCATCTTTTGGATATACCCAAAGTTGTGAAGGGTATCATATAGTCGGCCCCGTCCGTCTTTACTACTTTCCTTACTGGTTTATAAACAATTTAATGCACTCGACCATTCTGTTTTCAACATCTTGTAAATATTCGTATGAGAGCACATGTCCAACTGGGACAGGTGCCTGTATGTTGTAATCACCATAGAAGTCACAATATTTATGAAATAAATTTTGCACATTGATACAACCCTTATAATGTTTTGGTATAGCCCCCCATATTATAGAAAGCAACTTCCAACAAAATAGTATGTAGTTTAGATTTCAGGTTCTTGATTTTTTTCGCAAAAACTATGATAAATATCCACATCAAGGTATAGTGGCCGAACTTAGCAACCATGCCGACCTTAAACATTGGTCGGAGATCCAACATTTGATCAGAGTCAAGACATAACTCGCATAGAAAGGTCTCGCACAATTTTCAATAAGTTTCAGGCACTTTGAACCAAAGTTTCTGTATTTCTCAAATTGTAAAAAATATCATGACAGACAAATTATGTTTTCATATATACTCCATATAATTATTTTTAACGCCCACCTCACAAAAATTGCGGCCTGACCGAACTCGACGTCCATAATACATGTTTATCCTCAGTCTTAAGGCTTGGAAATATCGGTTTACACCCCCCAAGTTCCTTTCGACCAAATCAGTTTCAAACCATTGGAATCGAATTATAAATGATCCGTTAGATCGCACACTCCTGAGGTTAGTAACCGAGTTGATCACAACTTTGCTAAACTAAACCTAAATCTACCAAATCGGTCAATTCATTCTGGCCCCTGGTTACCAATTGTGCAAAACTATAAATCTCATAGGAAGGCATCGGAATATAATTGATTATTAAATAGTCAAGTCTAAAGCTCAACTATGTTGTATTTGATCCAAGTATTACACGTCATAATAGATTTAGAAACCCAGAAACCTATATTTTACTTCGGGAAAATGTTTTATGAAAAACGGACTGTTGCATTAAAAATATGACAGATTTTGGTTTTATATAACATTTTACGCCCGCTAACCACTGTAAAACAACTATCAAAACGAAAACAACCTTCAACTTGAACTCTTTTGCTACAAAGCCATTACTGGCTGTGATTTTTCTTTCTCTGCTTTACTTGTGGTCATCCCATTTAAATGGTCATCAAATTTATGTAAATTTGTTTTTTTTACTACAGCGTGGTTTGTTTTTCTTTTTCGTGGAGTCATCGTCGTGGATTGCTGTTGTTGTTGTTTGTGTGACAACACGTTAAGCTGTTAGAGGAGTTTTTTGTTGACACGCTTATTTTAATAGCTTGCTTTTTGTAGTTTTCGTTTATTTAGCAGTTGAACAGAAAGCCGTTAACATAACACTGTATGCTCAACTAACATTATTATTAATGTTACGAAATATTAAGGCATTACTTACCCACCGAAAAGTATGCTTTTTAAATTAAAAAATATTTCGCAAAATATTCAACGGCAGCCATAATTTTGAAATTGTATTTTCTTCCAATACAGTAATACGAGCACATATACTTAAGGGGACCCCCCCCCCATTCCAGGGGTCAAAAATGTTTTTAATTTAATTCGAATCTACACTAATTTCAAGTGAGAATCTCAAGAACTCTTGAAGATATAACCGATTTAAGGCTTCTCAAACTTCAAACGTGTTTTTCTCTTTTGCGAATGGCGGGCACGATAACTCAAAAACTAATAATCCAATCGGTTCCAAATTTTGACACGTTTCTCTGGGAGTGTATAGCTCTCGTATGAACTAGGATAAAGCCAATCGGTGAAGAACTTCCTTATTTTTGAACTTAGTTTTTGGTAAAAAATAGCCGATTTTCCAAAAAAAAGTTCCGCCATTTTGTTAATTGTTGTGCGAAGTCAATAATCCTAGTTCATACGAGATCCAGACATGTGGGAATTTTCGGATTCCGATGTTCCAGTGAGGAGTTATCATGCCCGCCATCAAAAATAAAGAACTTTTCTTTGATCACAAAAAACAACAACCAACATTTTTTGTAAATTATTTTTCTTCCTTTTTAAATCTTCAAATATATTTGTGCAAAGTTACAAAACTTAACAAGCATTGGTCGAGAATGGGGGGGTTCCCTTAAAGTCGAAAACGCCAAGTAAATTTTCATATGAGTGATATTCTTTCACATCCCATTGGAAACAGGTAATTTTTGTTTCATCAGACAACATTACATGTTCCAAATCCTCCGATTTAAATTTTTCCCATTTTTATACCCCCCATATTAATTTTGTTTTCCGTGCGTTGAGTTGAGATAGGTCGTACCCATATAAGTGTACCCCTAATTTTCGGTATTTTGGGTTCTTGAGCGCGTTTTTCAACCGAATTTGCTGAAATTTGGTTCTTATTTGATACCAAATTTCTTAACTAAAAATTATAAATATAGGTTCACTGTTTCTGGTAGCCCCCTATAACGATACCCCCAATTTTGAGTATTTTGGCTTTTAATGCAGTTTTCCACCGAATTGACTGTAATTTACTACTTTGAGATCTTACTGGGTACCAAATCTCTCTACTAAAAATTATAAATGTAGGTAAATTTTTTTTTCGGATAGCCCCCATAAAGGGCAAACCCCTATTTTCGGTATTTTGAGGTTCTTAAACGTGCTTTTCAACCGAATTCGCTGAAATTATGTATTTTGTAAATCTCCCTACCAGAAATAATTAATGTTTGTCCCCTTTTAGTGGTACACTGTGGTACAGGGTATTATGTCTTTGTGCATATCTTTGTAACAGGCAAAAGGAATCGAGATAGACCCATGGTTCCTTTGAGAATATGCATAGAATCACTTTCTGAGTCGATTAACGCATGTCCGTCCGTATGTTGATGTTAAATTGTAAACAAAGTACAGGTCGCTTTTATAATCCGATTTGGATGAAATTTGGCAAAAGTCACTTATTTGGCCCAAGGACGAACCCTATTGAAATTGGTTCAAAATCAGTTCAGATTTAGATATAGCTCCCATATATAGTTTCGTCCGATTTTAGGTAAATGATGCACCAAACACCCGATATTTGCCCGGTAGGGACAAAATTTTGCACAGAGTACTGAATTAGGTGCAGACAGATGTCTGCGAAGTCTTGTGAAAATCGGCTCAGATTTAGATATAGCTCCCATATATAGTTTCGTCCGATTTTATGTCAATGATACACCAAACTCCCAATATTTGTCTGATTGGCACAGAATACTGAATTAGGTCTAGACTTATGTCTCCGAAGTTTAATTAAAATCGGTTCAAATTTAGGTCCAGACTGATGTCTGCGAAGTTTGCTTAAAATCGGTTCAGATTTATATATAGCTCCAATGTATAGTTCCGTCCGATTTTTTGGTGAATGATACACCAAACTCCCAATATTTGTCCGATTGGCACAAAATTTGGCACAGAGTACTGAATCATATTCAGATTGATGTATTTATCAGGTTCAAATATTTATCTAGATAGCACATTTAATTTCGCCCGATTTCATTTCAATGGTCCTCCAAAGATTCTATGACCCTAATTATTCTAGGATATTGTAGATATTAACATGTCTGCATGTACCCAAAGTGGTGAAGGGTATCATATAATCGGCCCCGTCCGACTTTTGAACTTTCCTTACTGGTTTACATTAAAATATTTAGCTGATTAGTTCCGTGTTCGGGGGGTGTCTCCATACAGGCGTATTCTATCATAGTAGGGGGGATATTCTTTACTCGAAGTAGTCAGATTTTACCCTACAATGTATGGACTTCTAAGACGATTTAACCATCTGTTGTAATCATTCCGCCTTCTAAGGATATTGTGATAAAAACTCGAACCTGACGATAATGAAATATGTCGCCTAGCATTTAGGCATCTCCCCCATATAATGATACCTCTCGAAGGAAAAAATTGAGATACAAAACTAAAATATTGGGTTCGAAATTGACATATATCAATCATTAATTAGGCATATTATGATAACCCTAAATATTCGCTAATTCCTAGACTATGTAAATAATATTGGTCCCCTTTTTGGTCTAGTTTGAGGATTTTATAGACATATCGGTCCTCGGTTTGAGGTTTTCACATTTGGTGTTATTTCTCATAATTTTGGTGTTATTTCTCATAAACTTTTAATTTCGTCTTTTACAAACATTTTGGACATTACGGGCTATTTTTTAACCTAAGAAAAGTGGCCCACCCATACTAGAAATACACCTTTAAAATTTATTCGAATCGATAAATATCTTCTTTCGTTCTTTTGCTGTAAGTACTTTTGTAAGTACTGTTGTATTGCTGGGATTTCGGAACATCAATACTTACATAGAGGATGTCCAATTAATATATAATATCATATGTATATAATTTTTATAAAAAAAATAAATATTTTAAATATTTATTAAGAATATTGAAATACAAAAATGTATTACATATATATGTGTATCGTCTTAAACCACTACAAATAAACTTAGAATAAATATGAACTTAGTCTCACATACAAAATTACTGAAATGAGAGAAACAAAGTGGAGAAGCTTTCGCTTTACGAACTAAAAAATAATTTAAATAAATAAATAAATAATTTTAATTTAAAAGTTATATAAATAAATATGAAGGAAGATAAAATACAGGCAAGTAACTACGGACAGGTATTTATCGTATAGGGAGGTTTTCAACAGGAAATGTTATTTTGGTATTATTTTTTATTTTGGTAACGTTTACTTCTGAAGTTTTTTTCTTTAACATTTGACAAATTGTAGGCATATTTATCTAAAAACTTTATTTTTTCTTTAATTACCACAATAACACCTTGTATTGGAAACCCCTGTATTATTAGTTCAAGAAATTAGAACAGCATTAGTATAGCAAAGCACTAGAAGAAAAAATGAAAAGGGTGTTTTTTTGTTTAGATATTTTCCACAATTACGGGATGCCAAACATCAGTGTCCTCTGTATCCAGATGTCGGCGAACCGAGGGATACACAGCATCTGCTGTTGGCTCATTATTGGGGAAAAATCTACTACTATGGGATGTAACACTACTACCATCACCAGCAGCACCGTAACCAATTCTACGCTCATTTTGTTGTCTTGAATGTTTGTGTAGTTGTTGTTGCTCATGATCGTTTTGCTGGACGGGTGTTTGGGGTTGTTGATAAATGGTGGACGGTACTGCATTGGGTATTTTGTGTGAATACAATTGGGTTGAGGAGAGATGATATGGAGGTTTGGTTGTGATTCGAGTACGCCTGGTTGCCCCGGTGGAGGATGGCTTCGGTGTTACAGGTGTTGTCGCAGTTGTTGCACCTCCAGTCGATGTCTGAATTTTTCGATTATATTCAAAGAAGTCAATTATTGGGTGATAACTGTAATTAATACGTTTTGGTGGTGGGTTTGATGAAGAGAATTTCGTTGAAGCACCGTCACCAGCATTGCTGGTGGTTGCCGCGGTCGGAGAATAATACGAAGTCAAATTTAATTTGGCCTTGTAGGTATTGCGAAAAACATCCGAAGTTATAGACGGTACAACCTTGCGCTTCGATGACGTCTCAGTGTATTCGGTCGTTTCGGCGATCGTACTCGATGCTGGGGTGGAGGAGGACGCTTTCGTTCCCGGGATGCGTAACCTTGGCTTGGACTTGAGCCGACCTCCTGAAGCATGGGTGTAGTAATGGGTTGGTAGTGATGCTGTGCGGATGACTGTTGGTGGTGTTGGTGCATGGGTGGATACTGATGATTCGAATAGTGCTGCTCCATTACCGGTGACCTCTGTAGGTATGGAGTCTGGGGTGCTGTTGCTGCTGCTGGTATCCCTGATGGCTGGGGACTTTTGGTGGGCATTGGTATCAGGGCGTGGCTGTCCTGTTGATGGGACATTGTGTAATGTTTCGGGAGTGTGGGCACGAATGGTTCCGGTGCTGGAGGTGATGGCCGTAGTACTGTCGTTGTTACCGCCTGTATGAATAACAGAATAGAGAGGTTTAGTTTTAGTTTGTTGACTGCGATCGAGCTTGCCATTGAGTTTGCCATAGTGGTTTACCTCTCTTTCGGCATGCTGTTCGCTGGGCGAATATTCCAAATCCGTTTGGTAATCGTTGCTAAAGCTTTTGTGAGGTCTGCGCCGTGCCAGGTCACGTAAAATCTTATTTGACGCAGCGGATGAGGAGGCAGATGAAGATAATGATTGCTGTGAGGGGCCCGGTGCAGAGGGTTTAAAAATTTTACTCGAATCACGATTTAATTTATAAGGATACTGGCCGAATTCATCGTTATCGGGTGGACTAAGATAAGATCCCACCGTTGGACTTGGAAGTTTGGTCTTAACTTTATTACTGCCGCCCGATAGCAATTCATTAGCATCGAAACTTGTGTCGTGCTTGTAATGGTGATAATTGCGAATGTTAAAAGCCAAATCATCATCATCTTCTTCTGCTTCGTCATCCTCGGTATAGTCAAAGGATTCAGTGCGATAGGGCTCTTGTGGTTTGGGCGCAACCGGTGTGAAATCTTTTTTGGTAAATGTACCCAAAGCTGCGGCAAACTGTTGTTGTCGCATACCATTGATTTGGCAGGAGCAACAGGTGGGTACCTTGAAAATATCAACATGAAGGCCACGAGTCTTATCCCAACTAAGCAAACGATGATAATTGTAAACTTGAGAACAATATGATTTATATGTCGATGACAGGTACGAGCAGGTCTCTTGGGGATTTCTGTGGAGAATTTTATGAATTAGTAATCCATTAGAATAATCTTAGAAATGTTGGCTACTTACGTGCATTTTTCCAATCTCAAAGTTTGTGTATGCTTGCCAGTGTTGACAATAAATTTCCATTCACCTGAAGCCGAGCGCGCCTTTTGTGGTCGGGCATAACGTACAATGCTTTGACACAAACCAGCATGGACTTCATTGGTATCTTGACGTCTGTAAAAAATTTCAGTTATAATGTAAATACTGCATTTAAACAGATGCAGATTTTCCTTACCTCTTCTTGCCCTGATTGAAATCCTCAAAGTCATCACCAAAATCTACTCCACCATATGGCTTCTCGGTATATTCCGCCAATAGGGCAGTCATCGCATTACGATGACGTCTAATGCTACCTATTATTTGCTCCCTATTTTATTGAAATTAAAAATTTACAAAACAACAAATTTAACCAAATTATTTCAAAATTATTTATCCAAAAACCTTTTACCACCTGGTGTTTAAAGTTTATTTTATTTTTTTTTTTTTTGCGGTGCATTCTGTATTGAACCACCTGCCCAGTTAATAGAAGCATCATTAGGGTTCTTGGGATTTTGGGGTTCTAGTTTGGGAATTTGATTTGCAGTGCCGTGCCATTCATCTGTATACCATCTACCCGGTTAATAAAAGCAATAAGGTTTGCGGATTTGCATATCCCAGAAATAAATAATTGGTTTGCAATAATATACATTTAAATTTACTTAAATAATTAAAAGTTTTATTTATCTTAAATAAAGGAGCGGTGTATTTGTATTGTACTTACAAACTATAATTATAATTAAACTGGAATGTATATTTACCAAAAATAATATTCAGGGCAGTGCTAAAATAAATTTTACAGAATAAGTTGTAACCTATGTTTTTATGTATGCTTTCAATTTTAGTATATATGTGCAGAAATTTGTTTTTTATTGTAAAAATATTGAAAACATTATTTTAACAAATCTATATGCCTAGAAGTTTATTTGTTATGCCACGTTGCTGGGAAATTGCGATTAGTTTCATCAAAGCACGAAAAATGGGTTTGGACTTCCGTATGGTGGACTTTCGAAACATAGGTCTATATCACACTTTTCCTGTCCATAGGATTATTTTACCCTCCAAAAACTCGAAATACAAAATGAAAACCATTTCGTTTCGATATAAATTTTTTATCTAAAAAAATTAAAGGAAAGGAGTAAAGTCGGACGGGGCCGACTATATGATACCCTTTACCACTTTGGTTATATTCAAAAGATGAATGCTAGCAGACTTCGAATTCTGCAACCTATACTAAATTTTTCATTTGTTCAGATATAGGGTTGCTTGTTACAATAAAACAAAATTACCTAAAGTCGGAGAAAAAATATATAGAAGCTCTATCCAAATCTGAACCGATTTTAAAACATTCCACATTTCAAAACTTTAGTACGTGGTGCAAAATTTGTGTCAATTTTGTGTAAAATCGGACGAAAATATATATGTAGAAGCTATATCATAGTGTGAACCGATTTAAATGAAACATGCCAGAAATTAACTTATATTAACTACAGTTTATTGTACAAAATTGTGTGGCAATCGGACAAACTTTGGATCTTTAGTGCACATTTACATCAAATCGGAAAAAAATATGTAGGAGTTATATACAAACATGAACCGATTTTCAGGAAACTTTACACACATCATTCCAGACTCATCTCAGTACACTATGCCAACTTTTGTGCAAATCGAAATATGTATAGGGACTTTGGTACACCATTTACATTAAATCGGACGAAAATTTATATAGGAGCTATATGTAAATCCAAACGGATTTTCACGAAACTTAACGTGCACTATTCTAGACTTAATTTAGTACGATATGCGAAATTTCGTGCAAATCGAAAGTTATATAGGGACTTTTGGTACACCATTTACCGGACGGACGAAAATATATATGGGAGTTATACCTAAATCTGAACCGATTTTCAGGAAACTTAACCCACATCATTCTAGACCTAATCCATTTCGCTATGCAAAATTTCGGGTAAATCAAAAGATATATAGGGACATTATTTACCTTAAATCGGACGAAAATATATATGGGAGCTATATCTAAGTCTTGACCGATTTTCACGAAATTTAACACACATCATTCTTGACTTTATTCAGTACGCTATGCCGAATTTCGTGCAAATCGAAAGATATATAGGGAAAGTGGTACACCATTTACCTTAAATCGGACGAAAATATATATGGGAGCTATATCCAAATCTGAACCGATTTTCAGGAAACTTAACACACATAACTTTAGACCTAATTCATTACGCTGTACAAAATTTCGTGCAAATCGAAAGTTATATAGGGACCGTTTACATAAAATCGGACGAAAATATATATGGGAGCTATATCTAAATCTGAACCGATTTTTCCCCAATTTCAATAGGGTTCGTCCTTGGACCAAATAAGTGACTTGTGCCAAATTTCAATTTGTTTACAATTTAACATCTACAGACGGACAGACGGACGGACATGCATAAATCGACTCAGAAAGTGATTCTATGCATTTTCTCATAAGGAACCATGGGTCTATCTCGTTTCCTTTTGCCTGTTACCAACATATGCACAAAGACATAATACCCTGTACCACAGTGTGGTGAAGGGTATAAATATATACTTTCTAAGGTCTCCGACAAATATTGGGCATTAATATGCCCATTCATAAGTGCCGCACACGATTAAGATATATAGCATTTTAATTTTTAATTATATATGTCGATTCTTATTTGTATGCCAATTTTATAATGTACACGTGTGCGGTATATACATTAATATCCCTTCCATTAGAAATGAGAAGCCATTGAAATTGTAAAGGGAGTAAAGCCCCACAGGCATTGGAATACGCTTTGTTACGACGAAAAAGCTGTCGTTCAATAAAGCAACAGCAGATTTCCGCTGAGGGCATTGAGGATTGGATTTCACAGGGCGTCGACCAGACCAGAGATTTGTTGAGGTGGCATACCGTCATATATTTTAGAAAGGAAGTATCTTTTTTATCCAGTGCCTTCCTTCATTTCAAATTTGTAAGATCTTTCTTTGATGAAATTTCCTAAAATAAGGTCAAGTTAATTTATTTGTGCGAAAGGAATTGGGAAACCTTAGCTTAAGAAAATATCGGAAGATATTGATGACCAACTCCCTGGGTGTTTGGGTGCATACGGAGACTTAAAACTCCATAAAGCCAATTTTATGTAAAAAACGAAATTGAATATTTTAGAAAAAAAAAATGCGTGATTAATTTTCAAAAAAAAATCTAGCACATTCTAAAAATGCAAGCATACAAAAAATAAATACAAAAATAATCTCAATTATTTTTTTATAAATAAAACATATTTTCTAACTACTTAAATTACTTAAAACTATCGAAATTAAATAAATAAACCCCATTATAAACGGAAAAATGGAAATAAAAAAATAAATTATTTAAAAAAAATCCATGAAACCAAATACCCCGGCATCAACTCTGTAGTTTTTCATCATCATTATTAGCTTACATGGGATAGTCTTCGGTTCGTATACACATCGATGCTGTGAAACGTTCACATTTTTTTGGCGGTGGAACACCACTACCCTGCTGAGTTCGTGTACGTACTTTGGCCGGTACACGTTTACCTTTGGCCATGGCGGGTCGCATTAACTTATTTGCCGATAGGCGATAACGTGGCCCAGCAATTAATTCTTCGGGTGTGGGTAACAACTCATCTTGAGGTTCTCCATTATTAGGTGTGTTATCTCTTTCTTCGGGTTCATCTTCATTTAGCAGAATTTCTGAACCGTTTAGACTGGCAAAGGCTAAATCTTCAACTTGCTGATAGGTTTCTAAAGATGAATCTTCAGCAACCGCGGTTTCTTCTTCTTCATCTTTTTGTGGCGGGATGGTGGTAAGGGGAGCTAAGGTGGTTTCTTTGGGTGTGGCAAATGCTGTGGTATTTAATTTTAAAGTACGACCACCTAAACCCCGCTGTAAATCGGCTTCATTTATAGAAGCTGGTACTGATCGCACCAATTTGTGTACAAATGCCTCATTTTCTGTAGCTCTTCTGGTACGTCTCAAAGGGGCAGGTGTTGTGGTACTTGTTGTGGGAGTTTCTACATTTTCATCAGTCAATGTTGGAATGTTTCCCTTAATTAATTCCAAAGTGGGTACATCTTTTTGTAATTCGTGATTGATTTTCAATGGATCATCAACAACAACATCCTCAGCTATAATCTCAACATTATCAATGGCTGGTTTTTCCTCTTCGATTTTCGTTGTCTCGGCTGCATCAATTTTTTCTATTTTGGTTGCTGTATCATTATTATTTTTCTCCTCCTTCACAACTAGCAATTCTTTGTTGATTTCCATGGGATCTAAAAATTGTTCTGGCATGTCATCCATAAAATCTTCCATATCATCTTCTTCCTCCTTAGATGATGCATCAGCTGTATATGGCAAAGTACCAATACCCTCATTATTTTCTTCCTCAGCCAATTCCTTGGAAGTTAAATCCAATTTTCTTCTATCTGCCGAAGATTTGGATTTACCAAAATTAGCCAAATCCTGAATGCTGTAATCGAATTCAATATATTTCTTGGCGGAATTTTTCACCAAATTGGCAATATCATAGACCACGGGTAGGATTAAACTCTTGTCATCACCAAACATCATTCGAACCTAAGGAGAAAGAAATAATTATTGATGTGGCCTTTTTTTACAAATCCACTCAAAACACACTCACCTGATCCAATCTCAATTCATGACCCTTTTTGGCACTAAACTGAGCCGTTATCAATGCCGATAATGCCAATTTTTGTTGTTTCGACAGAACTCTCAAAATCGGCATAACTTCAATGAATTTTTGTCGTACAACTTTATTGGTTAATGCCTTCGACAAAGCGGTTCTTAACATTTTCTCACGCCAGTCGTAACGTTGCATTTGATCGCCATCATCTTCTTCCAGAAAATCGATATCATCATCAAATGTTATGGAATTTTCTTTGGTAGCTGTTGTGGCTTTATTCAACAATTCCTGGCTGTTGTTATTTTCATAGTTCCAATCAATTTCCTTGAGATCACCAAAATCAAAATCCATTAAATCCTCATCGGAGGCACTGACCAAATAGAGCACACAATAAAGTATTGCCCAAAAGAGGCAACGTAACGATTGACCCATTTTCATGATGACTGAAAGTAAATGGAAACAGAGAGTTTTTTTAATATTAAAATGTCCAGTAAGGAAAGTAGTAAAGTAGGACGGGGCCGACTATATGATACCACTATGGGTATATTAAACCGCTGATGATATTTATCTAAATGTGAATCGACCTAGATCTATCCATTAACAATGGGACAAAAGTATGTAAATCGACTTCAAACAAATAGACATAGATCATCCGTTGGACTATGCCTGTACTTCTAGAAAACGCAACAATTCTATGCTCAATTTGTACGTTGTGCAAAATTTTATGTCAATCTGACTAACATGAGGAGTTTGATGCCCAATTTACTTAAAATCGGGCGAAAATATATATGGAAGCTATATCCAAATATGAAGCGATTTCAACGAAACTTGTCACAGGTTAAGTTAATATGTTTTGTTCCTACCAGCCTATTGGATCCTTGTTGCGTCAATTACTTAAAATCAATCTATAATAAAAGGGAGCTATATCTAAATCTCAACCGATTCTCACGAAACTTGGCACCCATCATTCTGGACTAAATTTACATTAAATCGGACGAAAATATATATGGGAGCTATATCTAAATCTAGACCGATTTTCTCGAAACTTGGATTATCAGTACGAAACTTGCACCATTTACATCAAACAGAAACTATATATTGGAGCTCGATTCAAACGTTATGCCAAATTTCGTGGAAATCAAAATATATATAGCGACTTTGGTGCACCATTTACATGAAATCGGACGAAACTATATATGGGAGCTATATCTAAATCTGGACCGATTTTTACGAAACTTGGCAGATATCATTCTAGACCTAAATGATTAGGATGTACCAAATTTCGTGCAATTCGAAAGATATATAGGGACCGTTTACATTAAATCGGTTAAATATATATATATATGAGAGCTATATCTAAATCTGAACCAATTTTTCCCAATTTCAATAGGGTTCGTCCTTGGGCCGAAAAAGTGACCTATGCCAAATTTCATCCAATTCGGATCATAAATGCTGTACTTTGTTTACAATTTAACATGCACAGACAGGCAGACAGACAGACGGACGGACAGATGGACGGACATGCATAAATCGACTTAGAAAGTGATTCTATGCATATTCTCAAAAGGAACCATGTGTCTATCTCGTTTCCTTTTGCCTGTTACAAATGATCGCCTGTTTCTTCGACAAAGACTGTGACGATTTTTGTTTATCCCCGCACATCATAGTTCCCTTACCTGACCAATAAAGACATTAAATATTATATTATGACAAGTAGGCGATGTCGTTTACAAGCTATTACCGTTGAGCATTTAAAACATTTGTGACGACGACAAACGAACATCCCATAAATATTTATGGTGGAGTCATTTAAACGCATAAACAAGACACTTATGTTTTACTACCAGACTTACCACAAAATGAAGCAATTGGCATGTGACTTGCCACATGCAGTGAATGGAGACTTAACAAATATTTATAAACTTCAAAATGAAATCAATCATAAAACATACTTATGAGTATAATGTGGTACAGTGGTTTCGAAATATATTATGAATTTATTTTGAAGATTATCAGAATACAATATAAACAAGTGAAAAACGTTAAGTTCGGCCGGACCGAATTTTGGATACTCTCCACCATAAATATACTGACAGGTACTAGACATGAAAATTTAGGGAACATACCAAAAAGTGGACATATACCGATATTTTTACAAACCGATTATGTAAACCATAATACAAATTTTTAATGGATAATTACGCCCTCAGCCTTATGGCTAATAAGGGTGCATACACTTTGACAAGGACCAAATCCGTTTCAAAAAATTTTGATTTCATTCAAACTTTGCCCATCTTATTATTTCTTCCAAACTTGGTTCAAGTTCGAAGATGGCGAATGTCGGTCCACTCCTTCTGGAATCTACCACACAGGGGCTAGGCCTAAATGTGGGCTATAGCTCATATATAGTTCATTATCGAAACTTACGTTCTAGTTATATATCTCAATATCCTCTGCAGGTGAAATGATTACAACAGAGTCTTAGAACCAAAACGCGGAACAAATCAGATAACTATTTTAATATAAAAAAGGGGTTTATATGGGGACTACCCCAAAAAGGGGCGAATATTAATAATTTTTGGTAGGGAGATTTGTTTACCATATACGACTACAAAATACCAAATTGCAGCAAATTCGTTTGAAAAACGCGCTCAAGAACCCCAAAATACCGAAAATTATATGGGGGCTATCCGAAAAAAAGGACCTATATTCATAATTTTTTGTGTAGAGATTTGGGACCTATTAAGAACTCAAAATACTAAATTACAGCTAATTCGACGCAAAAATAGATTAAAATCCCCAAAATACTGAAAATTAAGAGGTACCATTATATGGGGGCTACCAGAAAGAGTGGACCTATATTTATAATTGTTTGTGGAGACACTCAGTACCCAATATAGCAAATTTCAGCGAATTCTGTTGAAAAACGCGCTCAAGAACCCCAAATTACTGAAAATTGGGGGGTACCCTTATATGGGAGCTATGCCTAAACGTGGACCGATATATCCCATCTTCGAACTTGACCTGCCTGCAGACAAAAGGCGACTCTATGAAAAATTTTGGCGATCTATCTTAATTCGTTTAGACGTTGGAGTGATTACAACAGACAGACGGACATATATCGTCATAGAATTTTACGCTGATCAAGAATATATATATAGTTTATAAGGTCGGAAATGATTATTTCGATGAGTTACAAACGGAAAAAAATGATTAATATACACTCCATACTATGGTGAAGGGTATAAAAATATAATATAAAGTACCGTCTTTCAGCACGGGTGAGCAGATTGAGGGAGATGTGTGCTTATTTTGGCAAATATTAAAAAAATCTACTTTAAAATAAATGTTCCTTCTCTGCTGGGATTCGTACCCGGTTTGTAGTCTGGCACACCATAAACTAAACTATGCCACCCACTTTTGCACACTTACATGAACAATTTCCAAGGCGACTTTCTTATTCCGCACTCAACGTATATTTTGCTCTTTATTTATTCATTGAATTTCAAAATAGATCCAAAAATATGGGATTGTACTGTATTTGTGGGAGTTATATTAAAACGTTGACCGGTAGTGATATTTTTGGTAGAAGACACCCCAAGAGAGTCAGAAAAATCAATTCGGTTGAAAAACGTGCACAAAAGTGGACGAATATTGATCATTTTTAGTATGAAGATTTTCTATCCAGTTAAATCCTAAATACCATAAGATAAAAATAATGCCTTAAATAAGGTTCGTTTTATATGGGTTCTGCATCTTTTAAATTTGTTCACAAGGATGTTTTATCCTCTGAAACTTTAAAAAATACCGAAAACGGGGTGGTACCATGGATTATATATAAAAACGACCGATATATTCCATTCAGAATACGAAACATCATTGGTACGTAATATAAGTATATATATTTTTTACCAAAAATATGTATAATTTATGGGTTTCCCGACGAATATTCTCTGGAGTTCTAAATGGAAAGTACATATTGTGTATATAAGATTATAGTTATTCTCAATTTCGCAATATAAATGACACAATTTTTAAAACTACTTGTACCACAGTGACTGACCAACAGTACACATATGTTTCTGTGTTTGAACACTTGTCACTTAACTACTGCTCTAACTAAACGCACATTTTATTTTTTGTTCTTATGATATTTTAGCTCCACTTGTTCGGCAGATGAAAACAGAGTTATAAAGAGATAACTAACGATGCTGATTAAGTTTATTTAACTCATCATGACGGTTCATTACAACCAAACGTTTAAATAACAAACGACTAAAAGGCATTTAAAAACATATTTAGCTAAAAGTCAAAAAAATAAAACTACAACAACAAATATTATTACCTTCGTCATCATCATTACCATATTAAATAATCGCTTAAATATCTGGAAGCTAAGACATGTGTTTATCGCGAAAGCATTACATTGTCGACCACATCATTGTTATAAGCGTGCTGTCAAAATTTAATGACTTTTACATTCCCACTTCTTGCGTGTGTGTATGTGTCTATTTTCACCTGCGTATGCTAGAATACTTTTGAACTATTGTGGGCTGGTGTTGGCGTTTTTTCTCTACTTTGTTTTCTTTATTTTTGTATCATTTTTTGTTTTGTAAAGCTCTTTAACGGTATTTAGTGTTATCTTATAACTGAAAAGATGCCGATTTCAATGTGATTTCTGACAATCACTTTCTTTCTTTCGGTTTTATCATCTCTCCCCCAAAGCGTTCATTCATATGTAAAATAGCGGAAATGATCGCGGCTAATTGTTTTTGAATAGCAATCTGTATTTTTCATTAGAAAGTTGGCCATTTGTAATGTTAAGTAGATGAATAAATGAAATTGAATTCCTTTTTTTTTTTCTTTAATTTACAATACGTCAATATCTGTGTTAATGGATCTAATGTAAATCAATTAAATAGGAAATAAATAAGTTATTATTATGCCCTCCACAATAAGGTGGCGTGTATATTAAATTTGATATTCCGTTTGTAAGACTTCAAAATATTTACTCTGTAAATTCTAAAATTCCATGTCTGTAAATTCTAAATAGACATATCCGTCGGTCTGTGGAAATCACGTTAGGTTCGCAATATATAAATTTTGCACACACGTTGCTACTACTCCTAGTCCAGTTTTTGTAAATAATTGAAATAATTTGAAATTTTTAGGCTTCTCATTTGGTATCAAATCTTCCAACCAAAAAGTATCAATATCGATCCAAGTTTTGGTATAAATTCCATATAACAGTACCTTCCCATATTCGGTATTTTGAAGAATGTAGCCACACTTTCACATTAAAATGTCTGTACCTTGGCATTACGGGTGCTTGGAGGATGAATAATTATTTTGTAGAATAAACTTGCATACAAAGATAACGCCCCATATTCGAAAGTTTTAAAGACACATTCCCACCAATGTAACTGTAATTTGGCATTGCGAG